TCTCCAGCTCTCCTGGAGCCACTGTAGGCTCTGGAAGGGGCTCTCGGGTCTCCCTGGATCCTTCTCTTCTCCAGCTGAACACCCCCAGCTCTCCCAGCCTGTCTCCAGAGCAGAGGAGCTCCAGCCCTTGGAGCATCTCTGTGATCTTCACAGCTACACATCCTTTTCTTGTTGCAATACACAGACTGGACAAATCTTGCTTGGATCGGTGCTACCAGAGATGAACTCTAACCCCTGTGACCTCTTGCTGGGTCCCTCTGGCCCTGCCTGGCCACGAGCAGCTGCTGGGGGTGTGGATGTGCTGAAGGGAGGGGAAAGCAGAGAGTCCTGGTGCTCCAAGAAAGAGGAGCTAAGCCTCAGCTGGATAACCAGCTGATGGTGTTCAGGAGGGCTATGCGACCCCATGGCAGGGAAGGGCTTGGTCCTTCAGTTTTTGGGGGTTTTTTCGGAAGAGTTTCTAGACATTACTGGTTCTCGTTAATCCATTTCCCTTGGTGTTATAAGTACTTGGGGAATTCCACAAGGTGCTGCCTGCCTGCCCTTGTCTTTGTGAGGGGAAGAGGTGATTCTTTCTGGGTGCTTGTGTGAAGAGAACAGTCAGGTGGAGCAGGTGGTCATTTCAGCTTGCATGGTCAAGGGGTAAAGGCATCATATCCTGTGATTCTGCTCACTGAAATTCAGCCCCCGGACTGCTTTGGGATGTCGCTTCGTGTTTGCTGCCACATCGTGGCAACTGAGCCTCACATCAAGGCAGGGAGCAAGGAGTTGTGCTCAGAGATCAGCTGAGAGGGCCGCTCTTGAAAGGTGGCACTCACCAACCTGCCCACTAGTGTGGCTGGAAAAGGTATAAATATTTTCCTATGTAAAGCAAGACAAACCCAAGAATTGTATGGGGAAATTAAAAAAAAACAAAAACAAAAACAAAAACAAAACCAAAACATTTCGTCTGAAATAAAAAACCAAACCCAAACCAGAAAACCAGTCTGGCAGAGATCTACCTCCAACCCTTTTGGGTTTTAATCAGTCTAAATAAATGGTCAGGGTGTGAAGGGAGTGTTTGGGTGCTGCCCAGAGCCGTAACCACACTGGTTGATGTGTCAGTCATGTCTGGTTTCTAGCTGTTACCTGCTCTCACTCGACTGATTTTTAACTCGCTCGGCATTTTCCATGCGTGTGAGATGTTTGATTAGAGCCTTTGTGTTGCGTGTGTGGAAATAAAAGGCCAGCTAGGAACAGACAACCGATTAGGCATTAGGTGAGGTATAATCCTCCCTAATCACATTTCTAAACCTGGTAGTTGGAGGTGGGATTAGAGTTATTAACATGCGGACAATAAAGCATATAATTTATTTAACAATTACTGGCTCTCTGTGAAGGGGGGGGGGGTCTATGCAAGTTGCAACCACACACCAGCTCCTTCATCTCGTGCAGGATGGAGATGCTGTCAGGAAGAAAGCTGACAAATATGGGTGGTTGCCCACTGACACAAAGGGCAGCAAAACAGTGGTTACTTTGCATATAACCAGAAGTAAATCTTAAATCCCCTCGTAGGACCCCTTGGCAGTCCCATAGGAGAATACCTGACATCTAGATGTTAAGCTGTGTAAACAGAAAGAAATAAAATATCAAAAGGCAAAAAAAAATTTTACTGAGGTTTCCTAGTCTTCCCTTCCAGTACACACTGTAATGCAAATGTACAATATGAAGGATGAAGAACAGTAGGCAAGGGCAACAGCTGGCAAGCAGTGATGTTGTGCAAGAGCAGCAAGGAAGGGAATTCCAGAGCTCCCGGATCAATCCCTGTCCTGAGCTTGTCATACAGTTTTCCCAGCTAAGCTGGGCACTATGGTGTTACACCAGAGATTCTCATGCCAGATAGACATCCTCACAGTCAACAGAAATGTATTTTAATTCTTGAGTTTATCATGACAGTGTACCTGTCTGCCTTTGGAGAGTTGAGGTTTGATCTTGTGATTGTCTTGAAGATGTTTGGAACTGTTTTTTTCCCAGTACATTAAAAAAAAGTCAAATAAAAAAAAAAAAATCCCAAACCAAACCAACCAAACAAACAAACCCAAACATGAAACCTTCAGAAAACCCCAAAACTCCCACTCTGTGCCCCAGCTTGTTGCCTAGTATGTACTATCCTACCAAAGGATAGTTGCAAGTTACTCCAAGAAGGATGTCAGGCCTGCTCTGCAGCAGGAAAGTATGCCAAGGCCTTGGGGCAGCTCAGTCTGATCCCAGGACCACGTAGATGCAAATGGGAAAGCCCAGCACGCAGAGCTCCCTTGTCCATGCTCTCTGGTTGCTGGAGTCCCTGGCAAAGGCTGGGCCCTGGGCCAGTTGCACTTTTCCAGACAAGTCTTGGGCATGGTTTGGGATTTAGGTCAGGCCAGGGACAATTTGCAGCAGCGCTTTTCACATGCCCGCCCTGTTTTGAAAGCAGAAAGTCTGGTACTCTCTGGGTGTTGCTCATTCCACACCAGCTGGAGCCTCTGGCTGCAGCCCCTTGGTGTGGGACACACACCAGGCACTGCTGACCTGCTCACGGTGCTGCAGGAGGGGGAAAGTCGTGCTGCTGTGGTCAGGTTTAGGCCCAGTTCCCAGTTTAGACCCCATGGGTTTGGACCCTTCATACTCTGCTGCGTGTCTGGAGCCAGGCTTGCAGATTTGAAGCATCCTGAGGGATCTAAAAGTTGAGAGGCTTCCTTTATAGTCAGTGCAGAATAATAGGAACTCCTGGTGGGTTATTCATCCCACTCTAAAACAACCCTAAAACAGGCATGAACTCTCCTCTAGACAGTTTAGGGTGAGTAACTTGGACTCTGACGTCTAACTTCTAACATTTGGTGAAGTGCATCCAACCATCTGTCTGTAGGGGTTTGGTGTTGGAGGTAGCCTCAAGGCAGCCTCAAAAGCCAGCACAGGTCTAGCCTCTAAATCCCCCAAATGCCTTTATATATATACATCATATAAAACAGACAAAACCGTGCTACAAACATTCTTTCATGGGAATGAGGTTGGCCCTGTTTCCCCGACCTCCCCTCTCCAGGGTTGGTTCTTGCCTCAGACAGTGGCCGTGGTGATGCAGCTCCCTGCTCAGAGCAGGGAGATCTTCCAGGTGAAGCATTTCATAAGTGACCTGACAGCCTCGCCAGTGGATCCAGATGAGACCAGCTGGGTCATGATTTGAGCCATACCAGACACCATTAAGTCATCATGCTCAGAAAAGGGGCAAAAAGACAGGAGAGGGGAATGGCAGGATTCATTAATGGGAACAATCTTACCTGTCTGGAACTGTAAATGGTGCTGGTACTCACCCTTTTGCTGAGAAGCAAGGTAATAAGAGAAACTGATGTTCTGTTTAAAAATAGAAGGGGTTTTTTTCCAAGCTACTAGCCCTAATTTTTAAATGTATGCCAAATGTAAATTGTCACAGATTTTCTTCTGACTTTATCTAGCAGCAGGAGACCATTATCTACTGATATTAGCTGTTAAATAAGTGCAAACTACCTGTAACTGCAGAACTGCACGTTCCTGGGGAATTTATTTAAGCCTAAGGTGATGAAAGGGATGGACTGGGGAAAAAAAAGGCAACCTAGAGCATCTTAAAGAAGCAGAGTTCATTCATCAAATCGCGTCTTCATCTGAAAATGTTGTACCTGCCACTGACACAAATAGCCTCTGAGATTATGACTGAGAGAGGATTCACCGGGAAAACATTCTCCCCTATCACTTTGTTAACTCTGTGCATTTGACAGCACATCTCTGGGTATAGACAGTCCCGCGGGTAGGCTGACAATCAGCTGTCTGGCACTGACACGTGGTAGGTGAGGGACTACAGAAGCTTTTCCTCTGGATCAGCTACAGGAGAAGTAGCAGGAACATCGGCTGGAGGATGAGAACAGAAGTCAGGAAAGGACAATCAGAAAGAAGCCCGAGCACACCGGCTGTCACTTCCCTGAGCATTTCCAGGAGAGGGCAGTTCACATGTGGAGCACCTCAGCTGTCAGTGCCCATCAGCAGAGTCATTAGGGTTTTTGCTGGGCACTTTCATGGGGCAGAATGACTCCTGGACTCTAAACCCGCTCGAGGCATGTCTCCTCTGTGTTTCTTAAGAGGGGACAGAGTTCAGACTGACATTCCCCGACTCTCTTCCTCCCCAAACAGTGTAGTCACCTGTAACACCGAGTTTTGTCCATTGCAAAATCCACCCAGGGCCTGGGTAAGCAGCCAGCCCTGAACTCTGGTTACAGCACCCGCAAACCCTGAGCTACCGAGCTCAGTCAAGAGGCTTTCAGCTCTGATTAAATTATAGACACATCCTGGAAGGGGCTTTCCAGATGACTCTTCTGTTTTCTTTCACTTCAGCAGGGCCTTTTTTCCTCACTGTCAGGCCAGTGGTCAGCTGAACTTCATACACAAAATTGAACAACGATTGCACTCAACTCAAGGTCCTCCAAAGCTTTGCATTGTGATAAAGTCACCCACAAGGACTGCTTGGGCTAAATTTTGAGCCTCTGCGCTGAAAAAGCACAAACATTCCCTCTGTTATCTAAGGAGAAGCCTGTGGCTACACTCAACACAGCAAAGGTTGAAACTACACACAGAGGACAAGGTGGGTCCTTAAGTGAAAATAACTGCAAAAACCTGCCTTAAATCCTTGCTTAAATTCTTAATTTAGCTTTTCAGTTTGTGAAAGACACTTGCATTCATTCTGCAAAGGAGGTTGTCCTTGGAACACCTCTTGCCTTGACATTGCTTGAGGTGCAAAATGGTTTTCATTTCTGGTTGGTTGGTTGGATTTTTTTTACTTTAATCTTAAAGCCAGAGGATAGGGAGCAAGATGCTCCTTCTGAAGGCTGTTACTGTTTGTCTTCAGTTGCTGTAGATTACGAATTGCTGCAGATTGTTCTTTGTGCAGGCTTGGAAAGCGATTTATCTTGGAATGAACACATGATTATTGGGTGTTAGCCTTATTCGTTTGTTTCTTGCTCTTTGCAGACTACTGCTTCTATTTCAGGTGCTGCTCCTATTTATTGTCCATGGTGTGCACCTTCCATGTTTTCCAAGGTTTTCATCTTTTGTAGCTTGTTCTGGCCCCATTCCTTGCTATGACACATATCAACAGGCTGATTAATTCTGAATCTGACTTTTGCAGCCGGTGTGTTGTGATTTCCTTATCCCTGGTGCTTAAAACTATATGATCTGTAATCTGTTTGCCTGCAGCCATGTCAAACTTGTACAAAGAAGGTAACTCAGCCAGACTGCAGTTTCGGGTTCGCTTTGGTCACATCTACCACAAGACATAGCTCTCCATTTCCATTTCCACTAGCAAGACCACTCTAAAGAATCTGAGGTCTCATTTTTGTCTGACCTTTCCTCACCTGCAAGCGTGAAGGTCTGAAAATTCAGAAGGTGTCGTTGCTGGTGGTTGGAAGCTGGGAGTCTTTTCCTATTGCCATGTTTCATAAATATTGACAAATTACTTTTACAGGGCACTCTGCACAGTGCAGCAAATGTAGTCGCTCAGATTGCTGGTTTTAAGACAGCTGTCTGAAGGAATCAGGGCTGCACATCTCAACTTGAAGAGCAGGGGCTGCATTTTGGAAAGCAGTGGCTTTAAAACGGATTTACAGGTCACTGTATCTATTCCCAGTTTCAGACAGTGGCCCAGAGAGGAACTGGGCATAAATAATATGAATGCATAAACAGAAGACAACTGAATGAAGGCAGAGAAGTGTAACACTGTAAATTAATTAAAGGACTGTTCACAATTTCAGTGTCCATACTTTAAAAAGCAAGTTGTATAGAGGATTTTGGATAAACGTGGAAGTCTGAAAACCCTCCTTACAGGGAAAGACCAAAGAAACTCGGTTTAGCTTGTGCACTTAAAAAAAAACCCCAACCCACTGAGGTGTGACTCTCGGTTGCCAAATACTTACATGTGATAAAGATTTCTATGAGAAGACATCAGTGTAACAAACCTAAACCAATAAAAAAGATATAATGAGATCTAATGGCATGAAGACAAAAGAGAGGCCCTCATTTGCACCACCCCAACTTCTCACCCCGGGTTTGCTGCCTTTTCTGCAAAAGATCAGAGCTGAAAGGGCCACGGACCCAAACAGGGATTCCTTGGGGGAAATTATTTGGCCTTTGAAGAGAGCAACATGCAGTAGGTGGTTGTAATGGTCTGTCTTAGTCATAAATTGTAAAACGGTAAAATGTTGATTTTTCAACCAGAACATGGCACCAGGACCTCCCATTTCTTGGTGAGAGCTTGTCTGCGTTGCCAGAAAAACGCTTCCTAAGCTTAAAACGGGGCAAAATTTACTTTTGCAGAGTGGGTTTTGCTGTACTGAGAGAGGATGTGTGCCCAGCAACACCTACTTGCACCAACTTGATCCTGAACTGGGTGAGGACAAAGCCAGGACAAAACTCTTACACCGAAGAGCACAGGCAGGGATAGCTCCTCGTGTTCTTCCCAACATCCTCTGTCACAGCATCACACCAGGGATGTCCAGGGCAAAGAGCTCCTTCCTCTGTCCCCCCAGTCGAGGGAATCAGGCCCTGGTAACATGGAGTGCCAGGGGTACAGGCTCTGACACAGGCTTCCCTGGGGATTACACAGAAAAAGCCATCAGTTGGCTTCAAGCACTGTTAGGAGACAGACTTTTTTTTTTTTTCATGCATCAGTTATTCATCATGATCAACGCCAAGAGCTAAAATAAACAACATGACAGTTTTGTAGTGATAAAGTCCCAGATTATTTTTAAGGCCTAATTTTTCATTATGGCAACATTTATACTTGGTGGTATCTTCACCTCCATAGCAGTAATGCATGTTTCATATCTCTAAATAAAACTAAGCAGGAAAGGATTTGTCAGGTTCTTTAAATTCTTCCTTGATTTATTTGGTCTTTTAAAATGATAACTTTGAATCATAACTTCTGAACTGATATTGCCTTAAATCACTAGTTTTTGAAAGCACAAGGACAACGCTCAAAATCCGTAACTAAAGGTTTGCTAGACCAGTAATGACAAAAAGAAAACTTCTACCTCTGAGTGTTCTAAACACTTCTTCAACTAGTACAGACGATATATACAGAGATCACTTCCAACTTGTCTACCAATCTTGCACAGATGGTGTAGAAAACTGGGGTAAATCTCATTGAGACTAATCTATACAAACATATGCTTAATTAGCATAGTGCATCTTACACAGTGTAAAGCAGAAACAGACTGTATTGCAATAACTGATCATAGCATAAATTGGTTTATTTTGATCCTTCCTACGGAGGCACAAACTATTTTCTTCTTAATTATTTTGTGGATTTCATTGTAATGAATTAATTTCAGCTTGCTGGAAAAAGCAAACAGAAAAAGGAAATACGGATGATCAAAAATTTAATCATATCATGTTTGCATTTATGCTGAATTTTGTTCCTATGACTGATTCCACTGGCTTGTTCACTTCATAGATTTAAACACATACTCAAATCCTTCCTGGACCAAGGCCTACCACTAATTTAGAATCAAAGCTATTGTCCCTCAGGCCTACTCACAAATTACACTTGTTTATTTAAGTCAATAAAGATAAACTTGTGTAAATCTCTTTGTAAACAAGGCTATTTCACTTTAATGATGGCTTATTTGGGGTTAGCACAAATGTGTTTCTAATCAACAAATCCAAAATAAAGGATGTAGGAAGATGAATGGTGCAGTATTTGGAATAATAAGAAAGGATAGAGGGATAATCTGAGTTAAAAACGGAAATGCTGGCAACATGAAATGTTTCTAAGCTATAAAAATCAGTACAACTGGGGAAAGAAGGGCCAGTTTCAGTGGAGGAAAGTTCCCTGTCCACTTCAGCACAAATTCAAGCAAGCCAATGCAGCAAAGGAATTCAAAATTCAAGTGTCTGACAGTGCCTAAGTTGCCTCTCAAATCATTCTGCTTTATGTTAGTCAGGGCAACTGGGTTTATGTGCACATAGGCACTGGGAATTAAGATAAGGTAGTTAAATAATTTACTGATCAGGATTATACAGCGTAAATGAAGAACGTGAGCAGATACACAGCAGATACATTGTGCTGTGAATGTCTTAAGGAGGATGTAACTTCTAAGGATTACTGTCTAACTCCATTCCCTCTGATAAATGTAATGTACTTTATAACACAAACACCAACCAGTTCATGCTGTGATGGGTCAGAAAGGCAGAACCTTGCTTTTAGAACATTATTTTGAATAGTAGTTATTTCTTAAGCCTGTTTTGCCAGGGGGATAGGACAGACACAGCAGGCTTACATCAGGGGCTGTCAAATTCTATTTTTTCTCAATATTTTATTCACTGTGGAACTGATTCCTTTTTTTTTTTCTTTTTTTTTTTTTCTTTGATTTGAAATCTCCTAACAGCCCAGTCTGAAGTGACAGTGATTTGTGTAATACTGGAAACATACTTCTGCATTTAAGAAGAGGCAATCAGCAGTTTTGAGTTTCGAGGCTTCAGAGATTATTAATTTCATTATTGAAATAATGAATAGTTTCATCATTGAAAAGACGAATAGAATAATAGAAATATGCAATGCATTTTCTAGTGTATTTTGCCACTATTTCCAGCCTTAAGTTGCAGCACTTTTGTTAAAGTTTGATTAATTTTGTGAGTATTTAATCTATGCTGATATGACTGAGTAAAGTTCCTGTGCATTATGGAGATTTTTATGTCTCATGTAAAGGCTTTCTTTTAATTTATGATGCTAATGCTCTCCTCTGGTCTCTTCAATGCAATGCCTGTTTAGACAGTACACCAGACATTGGTTCCCTTCAAAATCAACTGACATGTTCCTCGTGATGGGATGGGATAAGCAGAGTGTGGTTTTGTTTTTAGTCCTCTTTGTGCTGCCACAAGAGCTGATATGGTGTGGAGCTGTGTACAACCTTGATGAGATACAAGGAAAAAGGGTTTAAATCTGTATTTAACCCTCTGAGGGAGACACAGTCTGAGTCCTCCAAGAGTTTTTTCATGTTGGTGCCAAAAACAGGGGAGGCTTTTGCCAGTGTTGTGCCATTCCCCCCACAGAAGTCCTGCAATGGCACGGAGAGGCTGTTTCCATGTTTGGCCATGAAATAATGCAGAGGGAAAGGGAATCCATCCCTTTCCCAGCTTCCAGACCCAGCACCATCCCTTTTTTCATAATCTTTGGCAGATTTGTGCAGGAGGAAAGCTACTTTCATAAGTTTAGAGAGAAAAAACCATGCTCAAGTGGCATTTAGAGTAAGCAGAGAGGCAGCACTGCAACCAGTGAGGCAAGAGGCTAAGCACTTACTGAAGTACATGACAGTGCTTCAACAGAGTGAGTTGAGAAATCTGGGAGCATTTAACAGTGGTTTTCCTTGGATTTGTGGTCATTTTTACACACAGAAGTATATAGCAAATCCTGAGTGGGAAGGGACCCCCAGGGATCATCGAGTCCAACCCCTGGCCCTGTCCAGGACACCCCAACAATCCCACCCTGAACCTGAGAGCATTGTCCCAACACTCCTTGAGCTCTGGCAGCCTTGGGGCCATGACCACTGCCCTGGGGAGCCTGTTCAGTGCCCAGCCACCCTCTGGGGGAGGAAATCTTTTCCTGAGATCCAACCTAAACCTACCCTGACACAGCTCCAGGCATTCCCTTGGGTCTTGTCACTGGTCACCAGAGAGCAGAGATCGGTGCTGCCCTGCCACCTCCACTTTTGAGGAAGCTGCAGACTTTGATGAGAGTTCCCCCAGTCATACAACATTTCCTGTCTTGAACATGCTGGCTGACCTTTTTGCATCACAATTCCCTGTCTGCCTGGCATTGCCTTCCACACTTATCTCCACTCCACACAGTCATATCTGATAGTGTCAGGCCATTTAGAAATCCTAGGTGTCTTTGAAGTTATCTGATATTGGTGTTGTACTTCTTTTACCTCTTACAGGATTTTGTCACAGGCTTTGGGAAGTCAACATGTATTCTCTGTTGCATAGCACAGCCAGCTAATGCTTCAGCATATTTTTTTTGTTCTTAAATTATTTCAGGGAAACACAGAATGGTTTGGGTTTGAAGGAACCTTGAAGGTCACCTCGTTCCATGGGCAGGGACACCAGATCAAGTTGCTCAACTGCCCTCGCTCTTTCTAGCAGACAGATGACCGTGAACTACCACTGAGCTCTTCCAGTCTGCACATGGATGTCCTTTGTGAGGATGCTGATCCTCTCAGACACATTGGGAGATCTTGGGGGAGATGCTCCTGCTCCTCCTCTGCAGGTTCAAATCCAATTGGGCCTGTCAACCATTTGTACCTAACTGCTGATGTCCAAAATGTGCTGAACTCCATGGTTTGAGAAAGACATGGACCTGGAGCAAGTCCAGGGGAGGCCACGGAGATGCTCCAAGGGCTGGAGCCCCTCTGCTCTGAAGCCAGGCTGGGAGAGCTGGGGGTGTTCACCTGGAGAAGAGAAGGATCCAGGGACACCTTGCTGAAGGCTTTCAATACCTAAAGGGAGCTTATAAAAGAAATGGAGAGCAATTTTTTACACAGTTGATAGTGATAGGACAAAGGGGAATGGTTTTAAACTAAAAGAGGGAAGATTTAGGTTAGATATTAGGGAGAAATTCTTCTCTGTGAGGGTGGTGAGACCCTGGTACAGGTTGCCCAGAGAAGCTGTGGCTGCCCCATCCCTGGAAGTGTCCAAGGCCAGATTGGACAGGGCTTGGAGCAACCTGGGCTACTGGAAGGTGTCCCTGCCCATGGCAGGGGGTTTGGAACTGAATGATCTTTAAGGTCCCTTCCAAGCCAAACCATTCTGTGGTTCTCTGATTAGTTCACACAACCTAGCAATATCCAGCTTTGGTACCCAGGCTGAAGTTTTTCAGTTTGTTTTTACTAAATTAAGTACTATTTCACAGAATTATAGAATGGTTTGGGTTGGAAGGGACCTTTAAAGGTCCTCCAGTCCAATCTCCCTGCCAAAGGAAGAGATGTCTTCAATGAGATCAAGTTTCTGAAAGCCCTGTCCAACCTCATCTTGAGTGTTACCAGGGATGGGGCATCCACCACCTGTCTGGGCAACCTGTGCCAGTGCTTCACTACCCCCATAATAAAAAAAAACCTTATTTTTTTATATCCAACCTAAATTAGTGCAAGTGTGCATCTTAGAACTGCTTCTGCAGCAGTTACACATCCTGCCTGCCTTCTCTACAGCCACCACTTCTGAGCTCTGTGATTTGCAGACCCGATGCCACCTTCTTCCCTTTGCTTTTCTTCTCCTGCTGCTTGCAATTTCCTCCTAGAGAAAGGAGGTTTACACATAAATTGGTGATTTTTGTGTCACCGTTGTGCAGTCTAAGCTTGTCAGCCTGTTGACCTGTTTCAACCACACCTAGGGGAGATGCAGAGCCCCTGGAAATAGAGAGTCTTTTGAATTTCATGGCAAACAGCGGCTGCACTAGAAAAGAAACATGTTGCCATGTTTCTGCCCGGGAGAAAGGCAGAGAAAGCCCAGCCCTTATCAGCACTGCTTGGCTTCCTTGCCAGTAGGGAATCAGCAGGCAGCTGGCCAGCCAGAGCACACACATCCCTGAACCAGGCACAGCATGTGCTGCTCCAGACAGAAAGCCAATACAAAGCAGTTTGGGGCACCGAAAGGAGATCTGGAGGTACCAGGAACCTTGGAGATAAAAAAGGAGAGGGAGCCATGAAACTGTTTCAGAGGAGAGGTGAAGGGAATGTCTGACGCAAAACTATATGAAAACTGAGCTTAATTAACTTGCTGTTCATGGAAGAAAAAATTCTCTCAATGCAGTGGAACCTCCACAAAGCAAGTGCTGCACTGGCTGAATAGCCTGTGTCTGTTTCCAGGTACAACATGCCTGGGACACCTTATCTTTCAAAAACATGATGGCAATCTGTCAGATGCTCTGCTCTGTCTGCAGCAGGAATCTTCTCCATTTCACTTCTTTGCTTGAATCTCAAAATGATGGAAAAGCAGGGGAAATGCAATCAAAAAAACTCATTCAGCCAAATGCCTGCTTCAAGCTGAGAAAATCCAAGCACAGACAAAAGGCAAAAGGGAGATTTCCACAAGTCCACATCTACCCTTTTGTCAGAAGGGCCAAATGATGGGAGAGGTGTCTCACCTGGCTCCTGGGAATACCAGCCCTGTTGAGATGGGATCCGTGCCCAAGACACCGAATCACAACACCTACATCACTGAGTTCAGGAACCCTTTCAGTCTGGAAGAGCAGAAGGTCTCTGGAGAGACAACTGCTACGGTGGTGAGACATGACCTCAGGTGTAAAAGTGGCCTGAAGTTGAGATAAATGACATAGAATAAGGAAAAGTATCAAAAAAGCAAAAGCAGGAAAACAGAATGCGTTCAAGAGACTTAAAGCAAAGCAGGAATTGACCTTTTCGTCCAAAAAAAGCCCCTTAAACTCTCATCCTGTGGCTTCCCACTCATAGAATCATGGAATTTTAAGGGGTTGGAAGCTACCTTAAAGATCATCCAGTCCCAATCCCTCTGCCATGGGCAGGGACACCTTCCACTACAACAGGTTGCTCAAAGCACCGTCCAACCTGGCCTCGGACACTTCCAGGGATGGGGCAGCCACAGCTTCTCTGGGCAACCTGTGCCAGGGCCTCACCACCCTCACAGAGAAGAATTTCTCCCTAATATCTAAACTAAATCTCCCCTCTTTCAGTTTGTACCCATTACTCCTTGTCCTGTCACTACAGTTTCCGACAAGGAGTCCCTCTCCTGTTTCCCTGTATTCCCCTTCAGGTACTGGAAGGTGCAACGAGGTCTCCACTCAACCTTCTCTTCTCCAGGCTTGAAAAGTCCCAGGGAATCTGCTGGGCATCCCTGCAAGGATCCCTGCAGATAAAACAGTGCTGGGTTTCAGCTGAGGGGTCCCTGGCCGTGCAGTCACAGGTAACAGCTCCAATTCACTTGTGGTGAGCCTGGGCGTCTACTGAGGCACAGGGATTTGGCTGTGCTACATCATTACCACACCACAGGTGGTTAAAGCTTTGACGAGTCTACTGAAGGCAGGAGCTATAAGAAAATAAAAACATATGGGGGGAAACCACTCTAAGTGTCACTGAGTAGGGGGGTGGGCGCAGGCAGCAGAAGGAGGCTCAGAAGGCTTTGGGCTCCCTTCTGTCCATGTCCCACCTTGGGACCGTCAGGCCTGGAGCTGCTGTGCCACTGCAGGAGAGGAAGAACTGGGCAGTTTAAATCTTTTTGGAATCACAGAATAGCTCAGGTTGGAAAAGCCCTCCAAGACCATCGAGTCCAACCATTTCCCAGCACTGCCAAGGCCACCACTAACCCGTGTCCCCAGGTGGCACATCCACATGGCTTTTAAATCCCTCCAGGGATGGGGACTCCAACACTGCCCTGGGCAGCTGTGCCAGGGATGGACAACCCTTTCAGTGAAGGAATTTTCCCAAAATCCAATCTAAACCTCCCCTGGCACAACTTGAGGCCGTTTCCTCTCATCCTGTCCCTCGTTCCCTGGCAGCAGAGCCCGACCCCCCCGGCTCCCCCCTCCTGTCAGGGAGTTGCAGAGCCAGAAGGTCCCCCCTCAGCCTCCTTTTCTCCAGGATGAGCCCCCCCAGCTCCCTCAGCTGCTCCTGCTGCTCCAGACCCTTCCCCAGCTCCGTTCCCTTCCCTGCACACGCTCCAGCCCCTCAATGTCTCTCTTGTCTGAAGGCCCAGAACTGCCCCAGCACTGGAGGTGCCTCAGCAGTGCCAACACAGGGAGGGCACTGCCCTGGCCCTGCTGCCACACCACGGCTGGGACAGCCCAGGGGCCATTGGCCTCCCGCCCACCCGGGCACACCTGGGCTCACATCCAGGGGGAATTCCCGCCGGGAAGCAGCGCACTACTTTGTCTCAGCTCGCATCCCGCGGAAGAAGACGGACTCACTCGCTTCGTAGTGCGATTGCGCGCCTGCCGTTCACCCAAATCCTCACCCCCTCCGATCAACCGCCCGCGGCGGGCGTGAGTGACAGCCGGATCCACCAATCAGCCCTCGGCCCCGCCCCGCCTCCCCCGCCTCGCGCCTGTTTCTTCTCCCCTTCTTCCCTTATCTTTTTTTTTTTTTAACACTGCCGGTCTTCCATTGGTCTTCCCGACCGCCAATCGTCCGCACGGACCAATGGCCAAGCGGATGTTGAAATCACGGGAGGAGCGTCCAATGGGCGCGCTCTCCGCCTCACGGCGGGGCGGGGCGTGCCGGGGGGCGGGCGCAGGAGGGTAGAACTGAGGGGAGAGGCGGCGGCCCCGCGGTGCCCGGGTAGTGGCAGCGGGAGCGCAGGACACGGCGGGGCAGCAGCACTTCCAGGCGGCTCTCGGCGGATCTCGGCGGTTCCCGGTGCGTCCTGGTGCGTGGCGGGTCGGGGGTCGCTGCCCCGCGGGCTGCGCGGGCCTCGGGGTACCGTGCGGGCCTGGTGCCGGCGGGGCCGGGGGCGCCTCCCCGCGCCCGCAGCCCCTTTGTTGCGGAGGGGACAGGGATGGGTTATCCTGTTCCCGGCTGGATAAGCCGCCCCGGGGTTGGTGGGGACAACCAGGCTGTGTCCCTCGGGGTGTGTGTGGGAGGGAGGGAGGTAAAGAAGTTGTGCTGCTCCTTCTCTCCCCCCAGCACGCCCTGTTCCTTGCCTTCCTCCCTCCGCTCCCTCCGTGCCAGGTGCGTTTTCCTTGCAGGGGCTCGCGGAATATCCCGAGTTCAGAGGGACCCACGAGGATCGTCGCCTCCGGCTCGGGACACCCCTGCGTGCCCGTGAGGGGTGCGGGGGGTCGGGGTTGGGGGTGTGGAAAGTTGGGAGCGAGTTGTGCTTTGGGGATGGCGAGGCTTCATCTCACCCCTTTTGTCCGCCCCTCTCCTGGTCCGTGGGGCGCACACGGGGCACGGGCTGCGGTCGGTGGGTTTATTCACCTGTGTGCTGCCAGAGGACAGCGTTAGGTGGGATACTGGGGGGAAATTCCTGGCTGGGAGGGTGGCGAGGCCCTGGCACGGGTTGCCCCGAGGAGCTGTGGCAGCCCCCATTCCCTGGGTGTTGTTTGTAAACAAACATAACCCGCTGAGCGTTTCGTCTACCTGGGGGAAGTCGCGTCGTGATAAATGCGGGCGGTTGGTGGTGTTGCTGTGGAGTTCCTGTTTGTAATTTTTATTTTTCCTTTCTGTGGGGAGTGCGGGGGAAGAGGAAAAGTGCAGCCCAGTGTGGTCCTTTAGTCTTTGCTGTGGGAAAATAAAAGAAGGGAGAAAAGTGTGTGATGTGAGTGAGCGAAGAGCCCTTGTGATAGTCTGGGAGAGCTGTTGAACAGCTGGGATTCAGGCTGCAGCCTGAATGGGATTCAGGTCTCGTGTCTTTTTGGTTGTCTGTCACAGTTTTTGACTGAGAAAAGCCCAACACGTGTGTTGTGCCCTTTTCAAACGCTTTGCAAGTGGGATGGCACTAAGAAAAAGTTTTGTTTACTGGGTTTACCGAGACAAGTGCCTCTGAAAACGCTGCACCTTGTGTGTATTGTGCGTAGAGCTCATGTTATCACAGCCCATGGTTATAAACGAGTTAGATTCCATCTGTAGCGAGAGGTTTGTAATAACAGCTTGTTAGGAGACCGCAGGTAACAGCAGGTTTGTGTTTTCTCAAGTGCTCCTCTCTTAGCCTGGAGAGCTGTACTTTCAGGCTGATTCATGACATTATTTCTGTGGGGGCTGGACCGTAGTGAGAGACTGATGAGTCCTTGCTCTGCTCTCCAGGCTGAGAAAGAAACACCTCCTGGTTGAGGTGGAGGGCTCCTCTCAGGACAGGGTTGCTGTTTGGACTTTCCAATACTTTTATGGCACTGTTGGTGCGTGAGGGGGTTATTTGTGTGCTTGTTCTGAGGCGCAGCCTTAAAACTTGTAACGTCTACAAGCTCTGATGAATCCCCGGGGGGTGAGAGTGTAACTAAGGGAGGTGCGTCTGCAGTCCCTTCGTCCCCCTCTGATTAACACTGTTGTGATGAAAGATCGTGGCTGGGCTTCGAGAACGAAGATTAGGGAGTGATGAAAGATAATACTAGTTACAAATGCCTTTAAAAAGCGGAAAGGGAGGGTCTCGCTTAAGGTGGTTTAAGGCTAAAGATGAGTCTGAGCACATATTGAACATCGTATTGGGATGTTAAATAGGGTAACCTGGCAGTTGGTTGTTGTTCTGCAGTTGTTTCGGTGGCTGTCGGTGTAACCTGACCCACACAAATGGCAGTGTTTGAAGATCCAGTTTTCTTTGAGGAAGAAGCTGGACTTGTGTGATAGAATCCTGAAGAGGAATTCATCAGCTTTCACTGAGGTCCCGATTGATGGTAAAAGGGACACCAGAGTTGAAAAAGTGAGATTAAAAAATTGTTCTCTGAGCTGATCGCTGCATTTCCTCCACCTGGCAGCTGGGTTCACCAGCAAAATTAATTGCACAGCTGATCTCCAAATGAAAGGCTCTCCTGGGTCCTCCTTCCTCTTCCTCTTCCATTTGATCTTTCAGAAGTGTTGAGCACTAGTTGATATAATTGAGTTTATTGGAGCTCAAAAAAAAAAAAAAAAAAATCCCTGCTCCTGAGAGCAACTTTAAAAAACAAACCTTGTTTCCATCTCTCTAATCCCTTTCCCACAAAAGTACTGGGAGAACAGGCTCTGTAGTAGGTTCTGGATAACAATGAACCTGAGCTCTGCTTGAGACTGAAGCAAATTCCTAAGTTTAGTTTGCACAAAGAACAGTACTCAAAGTTTTAATTATTATAAAAAGTATTCCAGAGTTTTCAAATGTATTCAGTGCTGCCTTAATGGTTGTACATGTAAATGCCCTGTAATTGAAAGCATCCATTTATGGGCCTGACTTGCTAAGTGAGCTGTAAATTCTGCTTTTCAGATTGGATTTAATGACTTTTATCATAAAGCCATAAACTGGTTGTGAACTGTGCCGAGAGGCAAACAATACCTAAGCTTACTTTGCCAAAATATTTGTAATTGTTGATTTGTTAAACTGAATTGCTGCAGGTCATGCGATGGGATTAGGTTTTTGTGATAGAATGGAGAGTACAGGCAGCCCTGTGTTCAATACTCTCTGGGCTAGAAGAAATTGGCTACTGCAGAAAACCTTCCTAAACGTTCCTCTCCACTTCCAGTAGCAGAAACTCCGTTGCAAACAGTAAACCTTCGTTCCAGGTGACTTTTTATTCTGGTTATTTGTGTCTGACAGTCGTAATGCAAAGTTGGACCAAGCGGAGACTGCGGCAGAGCAGCTCCTGGGTCTTCTGTCAGTTCAGTCTGGGGCTCAAGCTACAATTAATTACACTGTAGCAATATGAGCTTAACATCAGACGCGAAACATAATTGAACTGCGCTTATCGAGGGGGGTGTGGGGCTGGCCGGTGTGCGGGACATTA